TGGCTTCATAAGCTGCTGTCTGCAAAGACCCTCCTGAATCTTGTGAGCAGAGGTTGCATTCCTTCCAAGAGTTTTTACATAAGCCATCCTTGTGAGACCCTCATGCACTCTATGTTGGAAAGAGGTGTGTGACCAAAGCAGTTTTTCTAGCTGTGCAACCACACGCAGCATTCCGCGGTTATAGTGCTCCCAGATAGTCTTTACTATAGGCCTCCTGTTACCGCTTGATCTCTGCTTTTACTGCACCATAGTTTGGAGTTTTTAAAAAATTCAATATTTGATCTGTGGTACAAATCTCAGTGTATAAAAAGCAAAGCAAGCTTGTAATCATTTAACTGTAAGTAACACAGGTCTGCCCCTGGCCATCTCTTCCTACAACAAGCCATAAAAACAAATGGCTCTTAATATTTTTCCAAAGAAATTAACTTCAACTCAAAAGAGCATGAAAAGTTTAAGCCAAAGGGCACTCTCAAGAAAATGAAGAAAGAAGCAAAAATTGGCCGGCACAGTGGCTCATACCTGTAATCCCAGCACTTTGGGAGGCTGAGCTGAGCGGATCACCTGAGGTCAGGAGTTTGAGAACAGCCTGGTCAACATGGTGAAACCCCATCTCTACTAAAAATAGAAAAATTAGCAGAATGTGGTGGTGGGCACCTGTAATTTCAGCTACTCAGGAGGCTGAGACAGGAGAATTGCTTGAACTCAGGATGGGGAGGTTGCAGTGAGCTGAGACTGTGCCATTTTACTCTAGCCTGGGCAACAGGAGGAAAACCAACTCAAAAAAAAAAAAAAAAAGATTTTTTGGGGGAGGGGGAGGGGATCTGCAGGTGTCATATCCAAAATGCCAAACACTGATTTAAGAAATTATTATTAGGCCGGGCGCGGTGGCTCAAGCCTGTAATCCCAGCACTTTGGGAGGCTGAGGCGGGTGGATCACAAGGTCAACAGATCGAGACCGTCCTGGTCAACTTGGTGAAACCCCGTCTCTACTAAAAATACAAAAAATTAGCTGGGCATGGTGGCGCGTGCCTGTAATCCCAGCTAGTCAGGAGGCTGAGGCAGGAGAATTGCCTGAACCCGGGAGGCAGAGGTTGCGGTGAGCTGAGATCGTGCCATTGCACTCCAGCCTGGGTAACAAAAGCGAAACTCCGTCTCAAAAAAAAAAAAAAAAAAAAGAAAGAAAGAAATTATTACTGTTTCTGAGACAGAATCTCTCTCTGTCCCTCAAGCTGGAATGCAGTGGCCCGATCTCAGCTCACTGCAATCTTCGCTTCCCAGGTTCAAGCAAGTCTCCTGGCCCAGTCTCCTCAGTAGCTAAGATTAAAGGCATGCATCGGCCGGGCGCGGTGGCTCAAGCCTGTAATCTCAGCACTTTGGGAGGCTGAGACGGGTGGATCACGAGGTCAAGAGATCGAGACCATCCTGGTCAACATGGTGAAACCCCATCTCTACTAAAAATACAAAAAATTAGCTGGGCATGGTGGCGCGTGCCTGTAATCCCAGCTACTCAGGAGGCTGAGGCAGGAGAATTGCCTGAACCCAGGAGGCGGAGGTTGCGGTGGGCTGAGTTCGCGCCATTGCACTCCAGCCTGGGTAACAAGAGCGAAACTCCGTCTCAAAAAAAAAAAAAAAAAAAAAAAAAAAAAAGGCATGCACCACCACGCTTGGCTAATTTTTGTATTCTTAGTAGAGACGGGGTTTTGCCATGTTGGCCAGGCTGGTTTCAAACTCCTGACCTCATTATCTGCCTGCTTCAGCCTCCCAGAGTGCTGGGATTACATGTGTGAGCCACAACGTTGGCTAAGAAATTATTTCTTTAAGCTGGGCATGCTAGTGCACACCTTTAGTGCCACTTATTCGGGAGGCTGAAGCTGGAGAATCACTTGAGCCCAGGAGTTTGAGTCCAGCCTGGGTAAACATAACAAGACTCCATTTTTTTTTTTTTTTTTTTTTTTGAGACGGAGTTTCGCTCTTGTTACCCAGGCTGGAGTGCAATGGCGCGATCTCGGCTCACCGCAACCTCCGCCGCCTGGGTTCAAGCAATTCTCCTGCCTCAGCCTCCCGAGTGGCTGGGATTACAGGCACGCGCCACCATGCCCAGCTAATTTTTAGCATTTTTAGTAAAGACGGGGTTTCACCACGTTGACCAGGATGGTCTCGATCTCTTGACCTGGTGATCCAACCGCCTCGGCCTCCCAAAGTGCTGGTATTACAGGCTTGAGCCACCGCGCCTGGCCTCCATCTTTAAAAAAAAAAAAAAAAAAAAAAGTAGAAAAATGAACAGAGCCTGAGAAATATGCACGACGCTATTTAGCACACCAATATGTGTGTAATAGTGAGGAAGGACACCCAGGCATCTAGGATCACCTCCCCCTTGACTTCCACACTGCATTTCAAGAGAAGAAAAGGCTGGCCAACTGGTGCCTCCTAAATCACCTTCCTATAAGATAGCAGGCTGGTATGGGGGAATGTCTCTGGAAGACACAGTTTTTACTAAAATAAGATCAAACCCCTACCCTACTCCTCCATCCAGAAACCAGAAATCTTTCGCATGTAATTCCTAAAACTGTAAACCCAAGACCCTTTCATATGTGATTTCTAAAGCTGTAAACCCAAGACCCTTTCACTTGTAAGTTCTAAGGCTGTAAACCTAAGACCCTTTCATGTGTAGTATCTAGAATGTAAGCCTATATAAAGGCAGAGCTTCTCTTTGTTAGGGGAGCTTGGCCGTTTGGACAAAACATAAAGCCTTGCTCCCCGGCCATAATAATAAAACCCCTTCCTTTTCTAGTTCGGTGTCTGAGAGGTCTATTTCTCTTGCTCCTGCTTCAGTAGAATTACCCAAAGGAGAGGAGAAGAGTCTGGCAGCTCTTCAAGGATTAAAGATAGAATTACCATGTAACCCATCAATTCCACTCCTAAGTGTATTTCCAAGAGGAATGAAATCATATGTCTACAGAAAAACTTGTACATGGATGTTTATAGCAACCTTATTATTTACAGCCAAAAGGTAGAAACAAACCAAATGCCTATTAATGGTTGAATGGATAAACAAAATTTGCTATATCCATACAATGAAATATTGTTTCACTATAAACAACAAATGAAGTATTGATACAAATTTCAATGTCAATGTCCCTTGAAGCAGTTTTGCTAAGTAAATGAAGTTAATCACAAAGAACACATAGTATATGATTCCATTCCAAGTCTAGAATGGGAAAGCTATATAGCAACTGGAAAGTAAATTAGTGTTTGCTTAGAACAGAGGCTTGGAGGAGCAAGATGGGAAGATAGGACAGTGACAGCTAAAGCCTACAGGGGTTTCCTTTTTCCCTCCCTCCCTTCTCCCTTCCTCTCCCCTCCCTCTCTCCCTCCTTACCTCCTCCTTCCCTTCTTCCTTTCTTCCTTCCTACCTTCCTTCTGACAGGGTCTCACTTTGTCACCCAGACTGGAGTGCAAGATCACAGTTCATTGTAGCCTTGACCTCCTGGGTTCAAACGATCCTCCGGCCTCAGCCTCCCCAATAGCTGGGACTACACCACCATGCCCTGCTAATTAAAATTTTTTGTAGCGATAGGGGCAGGGGGTCTCACTCTGTTGCCCAGGCTGGTCTTGAGCTCCTGGGCTCAAACAGCCTTCCCACCTCAGTTTCCTAAAGTGCTGAGACTACAGGTGTGAGCCATCATGCCCAGCCCATTAGTAGTTTTGGTCCAATATCTTAAGTATATTGAGTTTCCTGGTACCTCCCAAATTTACATAACCTTTTGTGTTTTCTTTAATAATCTCAGTGAAAATACAGTTAATTGCCTTCAATTAACTCCTATTAATCTCAGCGAAAATAGGAATTAATTAGGGGCTGGGCACGGTGGCTCACGCTGGTAATCCTAACACTTTGGGAGACTAAGGCCAGCATATCGCTTGAGCCCAGGACTTTGAGATCAGCCTGGGCAAAATAGTGAGACCCTGCTTCTACAAAATAAAAACAAAAAGAGAGAAAGAAATTAGTCAAGCATGGTGGCACGTGCCTGAGGTTCCAGCTATTCAGGTGGCTGAGGTGGGAGGATTGCTTGAGCCCAGAAGGTCGAGGCTGCAGTGAGCTCTGATGGCACCACTGCATTCCAGGCTGAGGGACAAAGAGGGCTCCTGTCTCAAAAACAAAAACCACAAACCAACATAAAGGACCCACAAAAGTTCTCTAGGGACACAGTCAAAAACTGGTCCAAAATATCCTTCCATTTTGAAGTGTGCACCTCACGGTTTTACTGAACACAGTTTTAGGTTGAACTGAAAAGAATTCCTCACCGGCCACGGTGGTTCATGCCTGTAATCCCAACACTTTGGGAAGCCAAGGAGGATCGCTTGAGCCCAGGAATTGGAGACCAGCCTGTGCAACGTGTGAGACTCCCCACCCTAACTGCCCATCTCTACCAAAAAAGAAAAAAAGGAACTCCTTCTCTCGACTAGGGCTGTGCGGTCCAAACTTCCCACTAAAGCAAAGTGTTGGGGTAGGGAAGGGGTGGATGATGGCCTCAACTTGTTTGTTGTCAAAGATTAAAACGTAGTCAGATTCTTTGTTAGGTAAGATGAGATCACTCTAAGTGTCAGTATTTGTAAACGAGAGTCAGAAGTCCATGGCCTCGCAGCCCTATGCTAAGTGTGGGAGCATCTGACCCTCCAGCTCCAGTCTGGCATGGCCCGGGCGCCCTTTTAACTGTGTACAAAGAGCCTCTCTTTATCTGGAAACTGCATCTGGAATTTCTTGCGCTGTGCACGCTTGTGTCTCCGCGCTCAGAAGGAACTGCGGGAGACACCAGTGCCGGACCCCAGATACTTTGACAAATTCTTCTTAGATGCAAATATTGGTGGCAGCGGGGCAGATTCCTGACCCCGAGCAATGCAGTGCGCTTAGAGACGCGAGTTTCCGGCCAGCTGTCACTCAGGCAAAAAAAAGGCGGGCCCAAGTGTGCAATGTCCAATCGGGCGCCGCCGGGAAGGCAGGCGGAGGCGACGCCGCGCAAACGGCGACGTCGCTACCAGCCGCTGCGCTCCGCTTTGAGGGCTCCTCACCCGCAAAGGGCCTCAGGTGGAGGTGGAACCTGTGCTGGCCGCGGAAGAGGTAGACAGGACACCAGGACATCCCAGCGTCTGGGGAATGGTGAGTGTGCGGGGCTGGGCGTCTTGAGATGGGGGAGAGGGTTTGGTTGGAACTGCCCAGATCCGGCTGTGGTGAGACCCGGGCCTCCCCGCTGTTGTCTCCCGGGTCTGTGGATCCGAGTTCCCCAGGCGCAGCTCGGCCCTCGGTCTCCTCGGCCTCAGGGTGGGGCTGGGCCGGCAGCCGGGACCCCGGGCGTCCTGTCCCCAGCGCCGGAGCCCTCTCTGGGCAGCTCCACGCCCGCAGCCCCGCGTCTCCCCAGATCGTGTGGGGGCCACGGGAGGGTCATGGGGGGAAATCCCGCCTCGGGCGTGGAGTTCGTGCGTGGGAGGAGCAGTGTTGTGTGGGGTCCCCGGTACCTCTTTTATTCCCAAGGGAGGACTCGCTTCTCAAGGTTTCCAAGTGTATGGGAAGCCGGATCTCAAATCCACGGCTCTGTTCTCCACAGCCTGGCTCTTCCGAGGACTGAGACTAAATCCCTAAATTTCTCGATCCCTCTCAAATGCCAATGTCTTCTCTCCACAACGTCGTTTATCAGCTTGTTCATTTTCCAATGGGGCATTTCAACCAGGCGTATTTTAATTACCCTTTTTGTACAGAGGAATGGATGGTTCTTTTTAAAAGATTTAGTTTATGCTTTCGGATATTTACATGAGGAAAAAACAGAGGCGAGGGACCTGAAGCTACCTCGTGTAAAATTCTTGTGCCTCTCTTCCCAGTTATCTCTATGGGACCTGACGTCTTATGGGAACTCCTTTGGGTTGAGTCTCTTTTTTTGGAAACTTTTCTTGGAGATCTGCCCTTTCCAGCTCAGCACTTCCCCTCCCTGGGTTTGTCATCTTGAAAAGATTTACTCACTTAATTGATTCTCAAAAAATGTAAAATGTAAGTAATTAGGAGACCTACAGCCCAGCCCACATGGTGAAATCCCGCCTCTCTTAAAAATACAAAATAATTAGCTGGGCGTGGTGGTGCATACCTGTAATTCTGGCTATTGAGGAGACCAAGGCAGGAGAATCTCTTGAACCCGGGAGGCAGAGGTTGCAGTTGAGCTGAGATCGCGCCACTGTACTCTGTTCTGGGCAACAGAGTGAGAGTCTGTCTCAAAAAAAATAAAAATTTTTATTTTAATTTAAAAAATAAAATAAAAGAGACCTTGAGAGAGGATGTAAAATATTTCCAAAGAGGCAAGAAAGAGATGGATTTCAGAAAATAATAAAATATCCAGCTGGGAGTGGTGGCTCACACCTGTAATCCCAGCCCTTTGGGAGGCTGAGTCAGGAAGATCACTTGAGTACAGGAGTTCAAGATGGGCCTGGGTGACATAGAGAGACCTCGTCTCTACTAGAAATCAGAAAAGTTAGCTGGATGTGACGGCCTGCACCTATAGTCCCAGCTACTTGGGAGGCTGAGGTGGGAGGATTGCTTGAGCCCGGGAGGTCAAGGCTGCTGTGAGCCTTGATGGTGCCACTGCACTCCGGCCTGAGCAAGGTCTCACACTTTGTCTCAAAAAAAGAAAAAGTAAATAATAAAATATCCCAGTATTATGTTGCATTTATTAAAAATTATTGTTTCTCTTTTTTTCTTCAGAGCATGTGTAGCAAGTTCCTCAGGTCTGTTCTTTCCTTTTGGGTGATTTCAAATGGAATTCCATTCTAGGCCCAAGTCATCCACCTGCCTCAGCCTCCCCTTTGATTTCTTCAAACACTGGGTTTGTCTCATTTAAGTATCAGTAGTGGTCCAGGTTACTTGACTGGAGAGCAAAGAGGACTGAGGTCAGTGACTCCAAGCTAAGGCCATCCCTTGAGTCTGCCAAGGGTACATGTAATCGAAGGTCCAGTTGTTTCTTCCTAGGGAGCCTCCCCTGCAGGTGTCCTACCTACTCACACCTACTGTGGAAGGAGCCCTTTGTCCTGAGAGAAGCTGCTGAGCACTGGAAAGATGGCCACTGGATGCACCTTGGGGGATTGGCTGAACCGAGTGATGTCCTTTCCTGAGGGCCTAATTGTGGTTTTCTTGGGCCTGTTTTCAGACATTAGGTTTGAGTTTTGCATCTGTTGTGTAGGTGTACTCAGTGTAATTTTTCTATAGTGAGAAAGTCTATAAAGGCCAGGAGATCTGTCTCCTGGACACAGGATTAATGAATTGGGGAGTTCATTTGGGTCAGAACCCTAATCTCAATCCAGTTGAGTTTCTTCACTTAAGAGAATTGAAGGGATAATTTTCCTGTCACCAGGAGTGAGGGAGTGTGTGGAGTTCCAGAGTTCATTCCTTTGTCAGCTCAGGTGCCCCTGTCCTCTGTCGCCAGGGACTGTCTCACTCTAAAGCTTGTTGCCCAACAGCAAGAATGTGGGCTCCAAGCCTGTGTGTGTTTAGCCTTCTGAGTGTGGGTTTTCCTTCTGAATTGTGGAGAAGCAGGCTGTGAGCTGATTTGAGAAAGGGAGAGAGAGAGAGGGAGAGAGAGGAAGTGTGTATGTGTATATGTGTGTGTGTGTTTGTGTGTGTGTGTGTGTGTGTGTGTGTGTCTGTTTTACACATGGGTTCTCACTATGTTGGCCAGACTGGTCTCAAACTGCTGGCCTCAAACAGTCCTCCTACCTTGGCCTCCCAAAGTGTTGGGATTACAAGTGTGGTTTTCTTTCCTTTCTCTTTCCCTTCATGCTTTCTTCCTTGGTGTTTTTTTTTTTTTTTTTTTTAAATGGGGTTTCACCATGTTGGTCAGGCTGGTCTTGAACTCCCGACCTCAGGTGATCCGCTCGCCTTGGCTTTTCTTTTTTTTTTAAGTGAGGGTTTTGCTCTGTCACCCAGACTGGAGTGCAGTGGTGTGATCATACCTGACTGTAACCTCAAACACCTCTCTTGGTTCAAACAATCCTCCCACCTCAGTTTCCCAAGTACCTAGGACTATAGGTATGCACCGTCACACCTGGCTAATTTGTAAATTTTTTGTAGATTCTCACTGTGTTGTCCAGACTGGTATTTTATTTTTTCCCCTTTGGATTCCTTTATTTGCTGACTATTACCACAGCTGAATTCTAGTTTCTGTTAACACTTTTTAATGTTATTCCATATGTAAGTGTGTAAGATTTTGTTTCTTGGGTCTGAAAATGTAAATCGATTAAAAGATATGATGCAACTAAGGCAAGAAAATTCTGAAACCAGACTGGGCATGGTAGCTCACGCCTGTAATCTCAGCACTTTTAGAGGCTGAGACGGGGATCACTTGAGGTCAGGAGTTCGAGACCAGCCTGGCCAACTTGGTGAAACCCTGTCTCTACTAAAAATACAAAAATTAACCAGGTGTGGTGGTGGGTGCCTGTAATCCCAGCTACTTGGGAGCCTGAGGCAGGAGAATTGCTTAAACCTGGGATGAGGAGGTTGCAGTGAATCGAGACTGTGCCCTGAACTTCAGCCTGGGTTACAGAGCAAGACTCCATCTCAAAAAAAAAAAAAAAAAAAAAAAGAAAGAAAGAAAATTCTGGAACCAAACAGAATATTTGTTCCTTTTAGGCAAGAGAAGCTCAAGATAAGAGATGAGGAGTTTAATTTTTTGTATTTTTAGTAGAGTTGAGGTTTTACCGTGTTAGCCAAACTGGTCCTGAACTCCTGATCTCGTGATCTGCCCACCTTGACCTCCCAAAGGGGTGGGATTACAGGCATGAGCCACTGTGCCCAGCTACATAGAAAATTTTAAATCAAATTTTAAAAAGCAAAAGTAAGTTGATTTAAAATGAAGTTTATTAAGTAGTAATATATGGCTATTTAAGTTTAGCTGTTTATTTGAAAGAAATCATGGATTTGGAAGTTAAAAAAAAAAATCACAATAGTTAAGTCTAACTTGAAAAGACTCACTGCCAGCGTATCCTGGTCCTCCCCAGGCCAGAGCACTTGCTCCAGCCACCCCCGGATACACACTTTTGATACTTTCTTTTTCTTTCTTTCTTTCTTTTTTTTTTTGTTATGGAGTCTTGCTCTGTTGCCCAGGCTGGAATGCAGTGGTAGGATCATAGTTCATTGCAGCATCAACCTCCTGGGCTCAAGGGATCTTCCTACCTCAGCCTCTTGAGTAGCTCGGACTACAGGTGTGTGCTGCCACTCCAAGATAATTGTTTAATTTTTTGTAGAGATGGGGGATCTTACTATGTTGCCCAGGCTAGTCTTGAACTCCTGGGCTCAGGCAATCCTCCTTCCTCAGCCTGTCAAAGTGCTGGTATTATAGGTATAAACTACTATGCCCAGCCTTTTGATTATTTCCTAAGCATCCTGTCAGTGTTTCTTTTTATAAAAAGAAGCAATTACAAATGCATGTTTTTCATACTCATGTTAGTTCTGTAATGAGTAGTTGGACTCTATGTGGTTTGATTTTGTCTTTGGAGATCATCAGCCTCACCTTTCCCTCTTCTCCTTGTGCTGCACACCTGGACAAGCTGAAAAAGTCTGGGAGCAGGAAATTCAAACCACAGAAGCTCCTGCCAGTGAGCAGGAACTTTCTTGTAGTCCCACCAACAAAGTACAATAAAAATCCAGGACAGGAGGCTTTCTTTGCTCTCTGAAGCTATGTCACACCGGCTTGAGCAGCCTGCCCTGCTTTCCTCAAGACCTCAATGATCACAGTCATAAGTCTTTTCATACCCTTTTGGTGTCTGTTCTCCACGCTGTTATTAGTGTCAACATTGGAACAACATAGTAATTGGTACGAGCATGGTGTTAAGACATTAACAGTCACCTCATGAGTCTGTCTTCTCTTGCACTGAATTGCTAACTGCTCTGCTGCCTGATGGCCAGCATGCACTTTGAGTTGCTGCTTTCTGGGAAGCTAGTACTTTGAGTTGTGCTATTCTGTGTTGCATGTTGAGCCCTGCCCAGTCTGGGTTCTATGTTTAGCCAACTGGGGTTGGCAGTTTTGATAATTTTTTGGCTTTTAGGAAGAGGAATATGAGATTGAGATACTCCTTAAAGTGGTCCTGGGTAGTGTGTCTTGGCTTGGACTTACCTGTGTGTTT